TTTTACTTCTGCTTCAGTCAGCGGTTCCCTCTGGTTTTGCAGAATGTCATGAAACAGGAGGCGTTTGTTTCATTCATTAAAATAAAGATTGCATGTGACAAGAGTGCAGGGATATTATTATAGTGTATTTTGTGGCTGTCGAAACCAGTGGTTTCAAATAGTTCCTCATGTGTTTCTAATATTTGTATTGTTATAGTCTTTCAGGTATGATATTTTGGATGTGTTGGATCTCATAGATTCACAGCACATAAACCATATGCAAAATAACATAGTTTTGATAAAAGCAATAGTGTTATTCAAAGGGGACCTATCATGCAAAATGCACTTTGTGATGTCTTTCATACATATGTGTCCCCGGTGCGTCAGGGAACCAGGTTTTGGTTGTACTGTAGAGCAAGTTGTAAAGCTTTGTACAACATCATCTAGTGTTACTAATTGAAAAAAGTGACCTAACCCACAAATAACAAAATACAACATCCTCTGTTGTTCATTCTGATGTGATATTGACAGTACTTTCCAATCGCAATAAAACGGTAAGAAGTTGAACTTATGTTCATCGGGTTAATTCAAAATTCAGAAATGAATAAAGATTTACATTCATCAATACTTCATCAATACTTTTTGCATTAGGATTCAAATAACGTAGCTGCTTATTGTCATTATATCAATTGTTTATTAAAGAAAGTCATTGTAGCAAATATCCCACTTTAAGTATTCATATTATCCCGGGCCAGCCATTTTAAGGGGTACTGAAAAATGTAAGTAGTTGCTTAAGTACAGACATGAATTTTGCAATAGTGGCGATGGGGAGCAGAAGTGACGCAGTAACTGTCTTGTCATCGGAGTACATACTTGCCTAACATGATGAAGTTGACGTAATCTGCTGTTTTGAGTAATCCCTGGTTGTTACTCAGCTCATTGTCTCACTGGAGATTCTTGAATAAAAGCGCAGTCTGGCACATGTTTAATAACCAAGCTGTCAGTTTGATTGAGCCACTTCAGACTTAGGAGCTGAGACACAAAACACAATCACTGGTTTGCTGTCAGTGCACTGTTGGCAGCGGCAACGTTGATAAATCCTGTCGAGACCTTGGTAAATTAAGATGTTAGAAAAACGCTTTCATTTCCCATTCAGAACTAAATCTGCCATTAATCCACTGAGGACAAAGAAACTTTGAGTGTTGAATAGAGAATACATTTGACCATCTTTTTCTCCCTCTCAGCCCTCAAATACTCTCCATTCTAAAAACAAATTAAAGTTGAGAAAGAAATGTCCCTTTCCTTTATTTGGCGGTGACAGTGATGGAACCCCATTTTCCTAGAGCTGGATCAAAGTGGCTGTATGTGTTTGGGATCCCAAGTCACTTCCCTTGGGCTCGTAATAATAGCGCCTGAACTCTCAGACTGCGACATCTCCCCTGGCTTTTTCTTCTAATCTGTTCCCGCCTCCTCAGTACTCCTCGCCTCACCCGCCCCAGACCCAGTTAGTGAACACACTCCGACAGTCATCTCTGACGTGGCGGCGGTGGCGGCAGGTCGGGGCTTGTCCCTGCTCTGACTGTCCCACTGCCTGGCAGCGTAATGAAGGCAGCGGGGGGGCCGCCTCACTGCCTGCCTGTGATGCCCTGCTTCATCATTCCTGCCTCAGCCTGCCGAGGTTTCTCTAATTAAGACACCGGCTTGGCCCTGCAGATTATGTAGCAGCTGGATCATTAGCGGAGAGGGTCAAATGGCATGTGTCTCTGTGTAGCGGGAGGAGCTCCTTTCATCCCCCCCCTCTCCATCAGCTCACCTCTGGTGGTCGCCACGAGGCTCTGCCTGCTACTTCTCCTTCGATACCCTTATTCATTCTGAGCATTTAGTGTCAGTAGGAGGATCACAGAGACTTAACCTGTATTAGGGCTGCTCAATTAATCGTATTTTAATCGCGATTATGGCTTGCAACGATTACGAAAACAACGTAATCGAAATAAAACGATTATTTTTGTATTATTATTACTTCTTTTTTTTTTAAAATACATTTTTTGTTTGGTTTGTCAGTTGAATTATACTTAAAGTTCTGGGTAATCAACTCTTAAAAACATACTGTTCACATTTTTTTTCTCCAATAAATGGATGTTTTCAAAGTCAATGAATAATCACATTTAATAATCGCAATTACAATTATTGACCCAAATAATCGAGATTATGATTTTTGCCATAATGGAGCAGCCCTAACCTGTATAGATCCTGACACTGAGCTGCCAGTTCAGGTGCACCCATGAAATGAAATGTATTAAATAGCTACAAGTAATTACTATTTTCAGTTATGATTCATCTGCATTTTTTTTATCTAGTTGATAAATGTTAAAGACAATCTTATAAACAACCGTTAGAGTTGCTTCTAATGTGTTAAAACCAGCGGATTGTCCAAAGACTTTCGATTTGCAATAACACAAAACCGATCAACGCTGACAATCCTCAGATAAGAATAGTTGGAAGTCGGCATCGTTGTTATTTTGTCTTGAAAATGATTGAAAGGATTCATAAAATATGAAAGTGGTTATCAAGAACTTTTCTCTTGATCAATATGGTGTTTCAGCTCTATTGCATATCATCAAATGTAAATGGTTAGTATTAATGAACACTAATAATGTATGGTGGCTCTTTGAAAGGTGCTACAGACAGTCAGAACAATAATGAAAGATCTTCAAAATGAAATGAGTTTTATGTTTCAATGGGCGGCCGTTCAAAAGGGAAAACCACTGTCATTATGACTCACCTGTGCTTCAGTTACAGGGTGGAGATATTCTGTGTATGATTTGTTTGTCTTTTCGTTGGTGAGGAACTCTTCTCCTCCATTAGGCTGACTCACCGGTCCGTAGCCACTCAGCAGCTCTGCTCATCCATCAGTCGGCTCATGACTGCAGTGGGGGTGGGGGGTGGGTGAAGTTACTTCAAAGTCTTAGGCGTTTTCATCCAGGTCTCCAACCTGTGAACAATTTGCACATTTTAAATGAAGGAGGAATAGAAAATAATAGAAAATAGGCTTTTTTTTCTCCATGTGAATAATTTGAAGTTAAACTCGATATATCTTTGCTTATTAAAAGGTTTGGCTATAAAACAGTTGTTGTGCTGTTCTCGTTGAAATAGTACCGCTGCGGACAACTTTGATTTCAGTCAGTTGCAAAAGATTTGAAAGGTCACAAGTATTCATCGAGATAAAACCGTCTCAAACCACTCCTCAGCAAAATCCCTTTTTTTGTTTTCAACCTTCATGCTCAGTAAGTTCCAAACATTCACCATTTTGCCAAACTATGGCAAAATAGGCTTCTTTCAAGTCATGCCTTCGCCCTTCTCAAAGATTTTGAACTGAGCCAGAAGTTGCATTCTGGGTGATAGTTTGGTGAAAATATTTTAACATGTTTATGTGGATGGCTCTAGCAGTGATAAGGATTCTAACATGTAATGCAATGAAATCAAGGTAACTAACTACTGTTCTAAGTACAGCCATCTCTGAACTGCTCAACAAAGGATAAACTTAAGGCGGAATACAGGCAGGATATTCAATGAATTAAAAGGTACATGCAATTAACAGAGAAAAACATTGGATAGGAACTTTAAAGTTCTTGATGAAACCCAACACTGATTATAAGGTAGTATTTATTATCAAAGCTTGACTCCATTAATGATCTCTACTAACTACATTTGGCTTTTTGCTTCTTAAAGTTCTGTTGGGTATTTGGAAGAGAAAAAAAAGCCTCCATCATCTGGCTCTGGCTGTGCACGCTGATGGCAGATTCTGAATTGGCTGCTGAGCACCGGCTCCCCCCCGCTGTGAGAGATCAATTGAAGGAACAACCACAAACTGCTTGTGACCAAACGACTGCCAAAGCAGTTTGCCCAATTTATAAATATCTCAGTATTCCTGCTTCATTTCATATTAACAGCAGATGCCCATAAAATGTATGTTTTTTTTCAAAACTCCTTCCCAACTTTTTGGCTCGCTAATGAAGTAACATACATATTTTTTTAAATATTGGTGTACAAATATAATACACACTCCTGAAAAGACCAACCTATTTAAAGCTAATCTCACTGTGGTATAGTATTTATTAAGATTCATGTCAAAGTGGTTGAATGGTAATAATTGGGATTCCTTATACTATTTTTGAAAGATATGGTATTTGACCTATTGAGTGCAGTCAGGACTATTTATTCCCAGTGTGACAGCCCACTCAAAATCGCACATGCTGACACACACACACTCACTTGTGCGAGCATGCTTAGTCAAGAGAAATCCCCCCACTTGTTGAGGATTTCTCGTTCTCCCGCCTGTTCTCTTTTCTCTCTCCTTCGGCCAGATTGCAGTGTCATCCTGCTCTGGGTTTTTTTACTCTCCCACAGATCCGCGTGTTCACCTACGATTGTAACTCTAGACCTTTCTACTCTGCCCTTCTATTTTAAGCCGGGCAGGGCAGTGTGCCGAGAGGGACGGGCAGACAGGCTGTTGTGGCCTGCGCAGCCCGGCCGACACGCTGAGGGTCGACGACGGCTTTGCAAGACGACACTGGCTGGCTTGTTTACGGCAGAGGCTCCGTCAGGGGGAGGAAGGGGAGGAGGCAGGCAAGCTGGCAGACAGGGAAGAAAAGAGAGGGGGTTTACTACCCTCAAGAGAGTCGGAATTCCTCCTGAGCCATTCCCCCATTTGGCTGGCAGTTGTGAAAACAATTGCCTGGCATTTACTCTCTCTCTCCGTGCAGATGGAGTCCCTATGAGTCAGCTCTGAGAGCAGCAAGCGGTGGAGAAAGTGGTGGGCTTGTGATCTACTGCACGGCGAATATAAGCATACTTTACAGAGACACTCGGTTTTTGATGTTGGCCAACTGTTCCTAGCTTGCGTTTGTTTTTATTCTCTGCAGTATTGATATGCATAATCTTTTATTTCCAATGCTCTCCTGTGCTCTTTGTGAGATAGAAAAGCTGACTAATAAAGCCTTCTCTGTTTCCTGTTTCTCCAGAGTTGACCTACGGAGGACATCATGCTGATGAGCTGAGGGAGCCTTCATCCTCAAGCTGTCACTCGTCTCTGTTTGTTATTCCGCACCTGGTCCACTCTCCATCAGTCACCGAGCGCCAACAGCAACCACCACCACCTCCACCTTTTCCCCGCCCCCCTCCGGCCCAGCCTGCCGTCACCATGACGTCGGAGCTGGAGAGCAGCCTGACCTCCATGGATTGGCTTCCTCAGCTGACCATGCAGGCGGCCATCCGCAAGGCGGACGCCCAGAATGCCCACGGGCCAGGCATGGGCAAGAAGAGCGCCATGCTGGATCCTAACACCACGCTGGACCAGGAGGAGGTGCAGCAACACAAGGACGGCAAGCCGCCCTACAGCTACGCCAGCCTCATCACGTTCGCCATCAACAGCTCGCCAAAGAAGAAGATGACACTGAGCGAGATCTACCAGTGGATCTGTGATAACTTTCCCTACTACAGGGAGGCGGGCAGCGGCTGGAAGGTAAGAGAAAAAGCCTTTCTTTTTAGCTGATGTAGCTATTTTCATAATAAGGGCAATTGGGTTGCATTCCGATTAAAGTGGGGCTTCAGCCTTTTTACAGACTTCCTGATTTCTTGTCAAACCAGTTTTATTCCATTGTTTTTGAATACCGAATATCCTTTTGGTTTTTACAACAGTGGATATACAGTTACTCATATAACCTAATTCACTCATTCATTCACGTTCTTCTTTGACCTTACCTTCTGAAGAAAGCTGTGGACAGCCTTTGTGAAAGAGTTGAGATAGATTTTTTCCTTGACTTAAATCATTGTTTTGTGGTCGCTGGGCATTTTAAATAAAGTGAGATGCCGTTAGTAATCACCATTGTTACTTCTGAGAAAGCTCAAAGAGAAACTACGAGTGCACCAAATCACACTAAGTGCCTTACTTCTGAAAAATGGTGCAGCGCTGAGAGAAGCATAGAAGTGTAAAACCCTGGATTAATATTCAGAGAAGTGGCCCCTATCTGTGCGAACACAGACTAAATAGCCCATTCATGGGTGGTATTATTCATTGCAGATGCCTTGATAGGAGAAGGCCATTATGCAGAAAAGAGAGCCAGTGCTGTGTCATCATCTCAAGGAGCCCATGATATACCGAGATGAAGCTATGCTGATTGCCTTTTTAAAGGGTCCAGATGGAAATTGATATTAGAATGAGTTTTCCAATCAGTCGACGTTTATTGGAAATAGAATCTTAGGCACTGCTTTATTGCAGTCAGACAAGATGTATGAAGCCCATTTCCTGGGGCGACAAGATCTGGTGTGTGTGTGTGTGTGTGTGTGTGTGTGTGTGTGTGTGTGTGTGTGTGTGTGTGTGTGTGTGTGTGTGTGTGTGTGTGTGTGTGTGTGTGTGTGGAAATGAATTGTTTCACTATGAAATCTTTTGTTTCCTCCTTTGCCTTTATCAACCCTTATTAAGTTGTCAGAAACACAACAGTGTATGTGATGTCACTCTGCATTGAGACACAGGCATCGTCTTGATTGTGTACACCACACGCCTTCTTTAGCATCCAATTGAACTATTCATCACACACTTATGGTTTTCTCTACAGATATTGGCACAAGTTTTCAGCATTTTTGTTGTTAAGCGGGTTTGGTTGCATATGGCACTCATTGGTCAATCTGTATGATTTATGGTACTTTAAATTCTTAATGTTTCTTTGTACGAGAGAGAGTTAATCATCATGTATGTGGGTTGAAGTGGACGTTATTGCTTGTAAGTATAACAGTGTGACTGGCTAGCACAACTAAAATAACTGTAGATGAGACACAACATTTACTTGACACTTGAATGCATACTGTTCCCTGCTTATACATTTCAGTGTGGGAGTCCTCAGTGAGAATCAGACCGGTACTGCTGCTGCCACCTCTGCACTTTTGTTCTATCCATTACAGCCCAGTGTAGATGGAGCAGAAAGGTGACACATGATATTAATTAGTCAACGCTTGGCTAACGAGTGTGGCCATTCGCGTGACTTTGTTTCCTTTGTTGTCTCCTGTGGTTTTGACATGAAATCAGCTGCTGCTTTCAGTATTGCTTTGTACAGGAGACACTTAAGAAATGGTTATTTTGTTAAAACCTCGTCTTAAATGCCTCCAAATATTTAATAAATGGCACTCAAGAATTGGAAATGTCACACAGTGTGAATTGATAACGGGTTGTTAAAATATCCCAGGAGCAGTTTTGAAGATTTGACATTTTAGATGAGGCTGAAATCTCTATTTTCAAGATTTTTGAAAGTGTCTGATTTAATTTGGAAGTAAGAAAGCATGCTGTTTGAAGCGGTGTTAGATCGTGGAAGATTTTTAGGATGTATACAATTCAATGTTTGTATTTTTTTTTTGTGTACCCACAGAGGTAACACTTACAGAAATATAAAATGTGGAAGTGGAAAGTGTTTCCATTAACTGTAGGTAGTACTGTAGATTTGACATGACTGGAATAACGCCATGGGGTATAAGAGCAAGTTATAGATTTAGTCAGCATTGGTTGAGATTACGCCGCCTTCAAGTACTTTCTAGTTTAGTAAAGGTTTGCATAGATCTACAATTTTGGCCTTATTGTGGGCTGCAACTGTAGAAATACCTCTCGTGTAAAAAACCACATCACGTTAACCAGGATGCTCAGTACAGGAAACTCTGAAATGCGGTTTGACGATGAGCTCAAACGCTAGAGCCTGCGTCACATATTTCTCAGTTCTTGTTAATGTGGTGTTTTCCATGTCATTGTTTTTTTTTTCAGAGTATCTTAACAACTGAAACAATGTGTATCGAGTATTTATAAAATAGTTTTATTGCATAAGACATTTGAATGAAATCCAATAGTGCTGTTTCCATGCCTGGGGCGTTTGAGCGAGCTCCAGCAGCCTTAGGTTAGTTCCTAATGTTTCTACGCTTGGAGAATTTTCACATCCCCATTACACAAATGATATTTTCATCCAAGTCTGTGCAAAAGCATGAGAAAAGTTTCCCTCCCCAAACTCCAGGAGGTCACTCTTGAGTTGTTTTTGACTTGAAATCCCTCAGAAATGCGTCTTTGCAAAAAAGGATCACATCATTGAAACGGTATAATCACGCAACGTGCATGCAGGAGTCACGTTTCCCTGCACTGTGACATTACTATGGTATGATTCCACCTATAGTGTGACTGAGTGTGCACGTTTATAATTAGTTGGAAGCGAGCATGCTTGGGTGGGGTGAATGTAGGTCGGATGTAGTCATCGCTCCTCTGTTCCCCGGAGATGTCAGTCGCTGGAATTTGGGACTCGACACACGCATGCGTCTGTTCTGTATGATAATGCAGGCTGTGCTGGCGAGATGAGACCGGGCTAATCCCAGTACCAGCAGCTCATTTAATAATCTCAATAGAACTCCATTAGCCGGCGCTTTTAAGAAATATCAATAAGTGCTGTCAATAAAAACAGATAATTCATCAAGGTCAAAAAGTGTGAACGCTGCCTGGGAGAGTGCGGAGTATGTGCTCGGCATCTACGAGCAAGCAATTAGGCGGGGATTTTCTTAACACCCTCTCCAGCTCTCTGAGGTACTCTTGATTTGTATTTGGCAGGTCAGTCCAAGCAGTCTTTTGTGCGGTTCAGCTTGTATACTGTAGGGTGAATGGCAAGCGCGGCTTATTGAATATCTGCCAGATTCCTTAAGGATGTTTTATATACTAGGATTCCTAAACGCATATTTCCTAGAAGAGTATAGGGTTCTGCTTGCTGCATGTGTAGATTGCAGAGTACTACTTCTGTGTCTTCCTGATTATAATTCATATCTATCGCTCAGTCCCATTCAGTCGAGGTCAGAAGAGCGTTTTTAAAGATGTTTTACATTAGGTCAGTTTCATTATTTTAGAATTCCAAAGAGCATAGTTGGAATTCATTACTAAACCTTTTAGATGATTAGTAATCAAATGAATGGACTACATGAGCGGAGTTATTTCTGTCCAGTCTGCTGTCACATCTTTTGAAATTCTTCTCTTCACAGATACTGTATTGCGTGTCATTAAAGGACAATCAGCGGTCTCTTACTTTCGCTACAACTGTTTGTGGGGCAATTGCTTCATAAGTCATTTGCAGACGCGTGGCTTCAAGAAGCTGCAGGGGAGGGGGTATTCCCCTTGTCAGCCTTTGCGTGCATGCATCATGATGAGCAGTAGGCTAAATGACTAGCTGCACTATACATCCAAAGGTAAAGATTTAATTACAGTAAGTGTAGATGCTGATGTCTCCGGTTGAACCAGTGTCAAGTTATGACATGCATTTGAGTTATTAGTTGAAAACATGAAATCAGTCGGTTCAAATGTGGCAAACTCATCTTAAAGATAACTTATTCAAAAGTAGTTCTTCTCATTAGATGTTAAGAGCGGCATATTCAACTTTGTACACATCAAATGAGTATTATGTGATATTCATTTGCTGTGAAACTCACTGCACTATTTTTTTAAATAAATAATATTTTAAATGGTATTTTAACTTTATTTAAAAGTCATATAGTGAATTCATAATTTAAAGATAATACGGTGACTTCAAGATCAGTCACAAAGTCACCGTTAACAGATTATTTGTTGTCTAATAGTGGTCGATACTAAAATAAATCGTAGTTTTCAAAAATGTATCTATTGCCTTTAATTCTTGCTGCGTTTAAATGCACTGTATCTCAATTTTCAACAATATTTAAGCTCATGTTTTGCTACAGAAATACTTTGATACTGGAGGGGTAATTAAAGCAAACGGACTGTACGAAGTCCTTCTCCCCGCCCCCCTCTGATCAGCCGTCAGAAAACATGAGGCTCTGCTCATCTCAGCCGCAGAAGGAGTGACTGTGTGCCATTTCTTTTCTGGGATATTTTCTGTTTGAAAAAGTGGTCAGGAACAGTATTGAGTAGAGCCTCCACATACACTCTGAAACGTTGACCCTCATCTCAAACCTTCTCGCGGCTCCTTATGGGCTCTCTCCAGGCAAAGTGTGTCAATTCCCCTCTGCATTTCTTCGAGGTGAAGAATGCCAAAGAAAATCTGGAGCAATTCTCAACCAGTTTAGAAATGTTTGAAATGTTTGCTCTTGAACTTTAACTGTCGAGAAGATTGTTGCTACTGGCACATTTTTTTTATTTTTTACTTCTTCACTTCAACACCTGTGTACAGGAATGGAAATTAACTAAAGGAGAATGTGGGCTACTGTTGATTGCCTCACAAACATCCACTCTCCCACTGCTTTTTCACTGAGGCCCACAGCTCTTAGAGGGGAGGGGGGGGGGGGGTGCCCTGGACCTTGCTTTGATCTCATTATAAAATGCAAATACACAGTACCCTAAACAGATCAAAGGTTCAACTTCCCATTGGATCTGAGGCTTAATAATAGCAGCCTGGAGCAGTTTTCTATTTTTGAAGAAGCGACTTGGGTAGCTACTGGTCCTCCAGGACATTATTTACTCTGGAGATAATGTTCCTGCTT